GAAATCTGATGTCTGGTGCTGGTTTTATGTTGTAGCTGGTCAATTACAATGTCTGGTACTGGATTTGCGTTGTAACTGGTCAAATCTGATGTCCGGTGCTGGTGTTGCATAGTTGCTGTTCAAGTCCAAGCGTGTTCACAATGCAAGCTTTGCAGACCAGAACCTTGCTATGTTCTGTCAGCCTGCTGTTGTCCCATACTCTTTGTCAATCTTGACATGTTGATAGAAACTTTGCTATGCTTGTTTAGCTAGCTGTCATGAGAGAGAGGAGGGGAGCAGTCATATATTTGTTAATATGTCAGCATCAAACAATTATCTCATTCTTCTTATTTAATTTGATTATTAAAAGTTAATTATTTAATTTAATTTGATTATTAAAAGTTAATATCGATAATTTTTCTTCTAAACAGTCTACATTTCTATTGGTAATATTATATGGGGGTACTTTTTTTTATAATTTCCCATTTAACTTTAGTGGGTATATTATTTTCTTTTTGACTCCATATATATTTTGATAGTGTTGTGCTATTTGCATATTTATCTATTTTAAATGACCTCATATGATTATTAAATCTTTCTTTAAAAGTGGTTTCAGTTGCTCCTATTTAATTTTTTTCTTCTGGGTTAATATTTTTTGATACAGTTGTTTTATATATTATATTATTAGTTAAACATTTATTATTAATTGGACAGTTATTTTAATTTCAACAATTACAATTATTATTCCTATTTTGCAGATGTGTGTTATTATAATCACTATAGTTTTTTTTAATACTTTTTATTATGTTTATTTATTATTTTCTCTATATTATTCATACAACTATAACTGATTTTTATTATATTTTTGATAGTTTACTATATTTAGGGAAGTGTTTTTCAATTAATTTAAAGAATATTTTTCCTATTTTTGTTTTTATTATATTATTATAAGGAGGGTTAAGCCAGATTATATTTCTTTTTCTTTTGTTTTTGTGTGTATTGTTTTTAGTCATGTATTCTAATTTAATCAAATAGCCACTTTTTCTTAATTCTGATTCATGTATTTTTTTATTTTCATTAAATATTTTTATATTGCTAGAATTAGTTGCAATTCTTTTGTTCAATATTGGTATGTTTAAATATATTAGGAGGATGATTTGAATTTTTGTTTATATATATTGGATTATTATTTGCTTTCCTATATGGTTTGTATGTATTATTATTTAAATTAAATGTTATGTCTAGAAAATTTACTATTTTTAGGTTAGATTTTATGTCTATTTTAAATCCTATTATTTGTTTTCTTATATTTTCTATTTTTCTACTGTTATAATTTCTTATACCATTATCTCTATATAAAACTATATCCTCATTATTAATGATATTTGATAAATTATTTAAGATATCCTAATGCCTGTATATATATATATATATATATATATATATATATATATATATATATATATATAGGTAACTATACTGTCTCAAAAAACCTTTAAATTTTTGATTTGCCAATAATCAAATCAATCTTGAAGGAAAAAAAGGTTTTAAAAATAAAGAGCGAGGAATATGAAAGTCTGTCGGAAAATCGCACAGATACAGGTTCAAAGCCCAAAGAAAAAACCTCGACACGAGTAAACAACTAACTAAAAAGAGCTCAATACAACTGTAAAGCAGACCTAGTCAAACATAGTGAGCCAGACAAACCTCCCAGGTTTCACCTAAGCGGACCGTCAGGGAAAGCTGGCTAAAGAGGCAAAAGAGAAACGGCATATTTATAGGCGACAATCAAAACTATACCATGTGACCAAAGAAAAAAAAGAGAGTAGAAAAACAAGACAAGAAAAAACAACACGGACAATGAAGGTGGCATAACAATACAATCAGGGGAGATTAGACTGTAGAATCAGATTCCTACATTTTTTGTAAATCTTAAATTTTGTGCAAGTTAAACACATAGAGGCTCCCAGCCAAATATAACAACTGATGTATTTTGATTGGCAAAAAAAATATTAATTAGGTGGCGTCAACTACGTCCGAAGGTAAAAACCCAAATTTTGACCTCTAGTTGACGCCATAAAATGTAAACATGTTTACGAGCCTGAAACGTTACCAAAGAGAACTAATAAAAACGAAACTTCGACGCGACTTGGTAGTGGGCACTTAAAATATTGAAACCAATTCATTTGACTTTTTTGGAAATCAACACAGCAAAGGAGACGAACTTTATCTTCAATACAACAACAAACTTTGTCAACCATCTTAATGCTCAATCCAACAAAATATTCCATTCCAACAAGAATCTCTGTTAATGAGCGATAACAATCAGTGAGTCAAGAACAATACTTTTTTTCTATTTAATGAAAAAAAAAAACATCTGTTTAATTTTCCTAAAAAAAACAAATATAGCTAACTAAACCATGTCATTTACACATACAGTACAGTAGCTCAAATTCTTTCAGTAACACACACACCAAAGAACACTATTGTGTTTATCAACTTTTGCACTATATATTATGTATTTATTGTGTTTATAAAAAAATATTTATTGTTGAAAAATTCACATTTTCTTTCTACTTGATTATTTTCTTGTTGTTGTCTTTGTTACATTTGATATTATAAAAATTTAAATCAAGTTTTTATTTCTATTTATAACCAATACAAATTGGAGTTATGACCCACTATAAATTGGTGACACCGACGTGATTTTTTCAACTCCTTTTAAAAAACACAAGACGATATATATTTACAAAAACAAACAATTTCTTATATACACACCTTTTCAAAAAGAGAGCCAAATAGGGAAAATGTTTAGAAAAATTTATTGAAATCCTACGACGCCGTATTTTAGAACAACAATTACTACTATTCAAGACGAACCTGAGAAATTTTATTTTTTGGTCTAATTTAAACCCTTTTTTTCTCTCGGCGACGTTTGACCTGATTTTATCCAGCACACATGCTTAAGGCTGTACCGAAACAAAAACAACGCTATTTTTTTACCAACCAACACTATGTTTTCTGGACTGAAACAGATAAAGCTTAAACCCAAACTGTTTTAAAGGCAAACCACTGTCATTTACTCTAACAACATGATGATTCCGACAAGGAAGCGACATAAGTTTCATTGAAATGATTCTACAATGAAAATGGAATTTTCACTGTTCCATTACGATGCGACATCACTGTCCAATTTGCATGCACGTAATTCGTCGCTATTAATCTTTAAATTTTTTTTAAAAACACATTTACTGGTCATAGCATTTCGCATTTTCTTCCATTCTGAAATAAAAAAATATGTATTCATTTTTCCTACACCACATGGCGACATCTTCACGCCACCGCTTCTTCCCATGCTTCAAACTATTTTTTCGGACGACTCACTGCTTCGAAAAACATTTTGGTTGATTACACTTGACGACAACACAAGCACATTTCATGAATCACGCATCTAAACCAACTTCTGACAAATTTTTTTTTTCAGCTCAAAAGAACAATATTTTTTTTTTTTCACGAACCTTTTTTTTATATATTAAAAGTTTTCATTTCCTTACAATTTTTTTAGTAACCATGATTAAGGGGCATTGTCGGAGTTAACTCCTCCTTCATTCCGTTAACCCTTTCACCAGGGTCTCTCTTCCCTGGCTATAAATAGCCGCTGACTCTTCACCTCTATCTCTTTTTTTCCTTCAGGATTTCAGCTATCAACCTTCAAATTGTAGGCGCTAACAAGGGATAGCGTGGAAACACGCTAAGCACAATATACACACACGCACGCACATACAGAATATTCACACACGCACGCACATACAGAATATTCACACGCACTTCGTCCCTTGTACTGTTTCCATGTATTGTAACTTGTCATTAATATATATTTGTATATACATATATTATCGGTCTTGTTTTGTGTGCTTCCTTTACCTTCTACTTGATTATTTCTCTTGTTGTTGTCTTTGTTACATTTGATATTGTAAAAATTGTAGGGGGTCAGTTTTTATTTCTATTTATAACCAATACAAATTGGCTGACCCACTATAAATTGGTGACCCCGAAGTTCAAATGTGCAAAGCAATATTTTAAAAACAGCATTTTATAAGAGAAATACTTTAGTTGTCACGTTCTAAACGAAAGCAATGGAAAATTCTACCAGCGAACATATTGAAGCGGCAATTTCCATCAGTCTACCGACGTACAACCACACCAACGTTCAAGTGTGGTTTGCGCAGTTAAACGCAATTTTTAATGCAAGAAAGGTCACGTCTCAACATGCCCGTTACGCTTTTTAAACTTCCCTCAGATGTAGCATTAGAGGTAGCAGACCTCCTCAGTGGAGTGCCGGCGGAGAAACCGTATGATACTTTGAAAGATGCTATACTATACCGCACGGGCGAATCAGAGGAACGTCGGTTGCACGATTTGTTTAACAACCTTAATTTGGGACACTATAAACCTACCCAATTGCTTAGAAAGATGAAAGCTTTACTAGGTGACAATACCATGTCTGACACAGTCCTCCGTAAACTATGGATGGATAAACTGAGCCCACAAACATCACAAATATTAGTGTCACTTCCGGACGATTTGGACCTACAGCGATTGGCAGAAGTCGCGGACAAAATATATGAGAATAAACCTCCGGGAACTGCTTCTGCGACACCACTACAACCTATTGTCTCTTCAGTCCGTGACTCACAAGAGTTATCGAAAATTAAAGATTGTATAGCCGAGCTTACCTCACAGTTACAAGCTCTACAAACTGCTATGCATCAGCAAAATCGCACACCCAACAATTTCACTAGTCGACCACGTCCATCACATCATACTTGGCGAAGATCACGTTCCACATCCAGAAGCAGGCCTATATTTAATGCCTGTTGGTATCATTTTAAATATGGACAACAAGCGCGGCATTGTACGAAACCGTGTAACTTCGACATAAACGCAGCTAAGGATAACAACACACAGCAGTCGGGAAACGACTATCCCGGCAACAAGTAGAGACGTTTGCTGCCGGAGGAATGCCAAAAAGTCGTCTCTTTTACATCCGAGATGAGAACTCCAGCTACTTGTTTTTAGTGGATACTGGGGCACAAATTAGTGTAATACCAGCCAAGCCTAATATGTTGACTAGAAAGACAGATTATACGTTACAAGCGGCGAATGGATCTTCAATCCAGACATATGGTGAAACCTCTTTAACCCTAAATCTGGGATTTAGGCGATCTTTTCCGTGGGTATTCACGATAGCCCAAGTTCGAACCCCAATCCTAGGAGCGGATTTCCTCGCCCACTTTAACTTGTCCGTTAATATGTCTTCCCTTTCTTTGGAGGATAAAACGACCAACATTACAAGGAAAGGAATTACATCTATTTATACGAGCACATGTATCAGCGCAACTCTACCTGAAGCCAACGGAATGCAGGATCTGTTACAAAAATATTCTCAAATTACAACACCATTCCGGTATACAGAAACCGTTCGTCACAATGCTGAGCACCACATTGATACTACGGGCCAATCCACGCATTCATCTCCACGGCGATTGAGGCCTGATAAATATAAACTGGCGAAAGACGAGTTTCAGCACATGCTGGACCTCGGTATAATTAGACCTTCTTCGAGTCCTTACTCATCTCCTCTTCATATGGTTCCAAAACCGGACTCAGGAGCTTGGAGACCTTGTGGCGATTTCCGCAAGCTGAATGCTACTACAATTCCGGATAAATACCCCCATCCCGTACTTGCACGATTTCGCAGTGGGTCTGCAGGGCGCCACAGTCTTCACCAAACTTGATCTGGTGAAAGCATTCCACCAGATACCAGTGGCCAAGGAAGACATCCATAAAACAGCAATAACTACTCCTTTTGGCTTATACGAATTTGTGAGAATGCCATTTGGTTTAAGGAACGCTGCATAATTTTTCCAACGGCTTATAGACGAAGTGCTGAGAGGTTTACCTTTCACCTTTGCTTATATTGATGACGTCCTGATCGCCAGTAGAAACAAGACTGAACATCGTCACCACGTTGAACAAGTTTTCCAGCGTCCACAGCATTTTGGCCTTAAGATTAACGCAGAGAAATGTATTTTGCTGTGCCCTCGCTTAATTTTTGGGACACGTCATTGACGAAAAGGGAATAACGCCCTTACCTGAGAAAATAGAATCTATTTCAAATTTCTCACAACCAACTTCACTCCGGCAGTTACGCCGATTCTTAGGCCTCATTAATTACTACCGGAGGTTCATTCCTGGTTGTTCCCAGATTCTGATTCCCCTCACAGATTTACTGCAACAACAGCGTCAGAAGAACTCAAAGATTACCTTGGAAGGCGAATCACTGACTGCTTTTCACAGAGCCACCTGACTTGTGTGGTGAGCTAATTTTGGGGAGTGACTGGCTTAGGCAGAATAAGGCACAGATCCGTTTCGACCCCGCCGCCCTAACATTGGACAGGGTAGGGATAATGTTGGGAGAGAATAATTATGAACAATTGCCAGTGGTGGCCCAGACAGATATAAAGCTTCCCTCTAGGACTACTGTATCTGGGAAGGGCAAGATTATAACAGAAGGAGTGCTGAACAGTGAACTGTACCAAGTGGTCCCTACTGAGAAGTATGATAATAGCGAAGGGTAAATAACCGTGTGAGATTCGTTGGTGTAGAGGTCGGGGACCGTTCCCTTACTGTTAATAAATACTGCCAATAAAACTATTAAAATAAATCAGGCAGAGGAGCTGGCACAGGCGTGCCGAGTAAGAGAAGTCAAACAGCTGAGAGTATGGAATGAGAATAGGCCTGGGAATAAGACAGGTAGCAATGAAATAAGGGATGAAGATATAACAGCTCCTGAGCATTATAGGAGGAAATTGAGGGGGTTGCTGAACGGTAATCGGCAGGTAATAGCCATTACTGATAAGGAACTGGGACAGACGGAGACAGTTGAAATGAAAATAGACACGGATAATCACCCACCTATTAAGTTAAGACCGTATAGGACCCCAATCCACAAAAAAAAATTAGTAGAGAAAGCAGTGAATGAAATGATGGAATCAGGAATAATGGAAAGATCCAAATCTCCCTGGAGTTTTCAGTAAGTGATCGTTGAAAAGAAGGATGGAGGGCATAGGTTTTGTGTGGATTTTTGTCAATTAAATGCCATTACGAAACCGTTGGCAGTGCCCCTCCCCTTGATTGATGATATTCTAGCTCTTTTAGGAAAGTCTAAATTTTTTTCCACCTTGGAGTTGAGGTCGGCATATTGACAGGTAGCACTTAGCAAAAAGGATCAGGAAAAGACTGCTTTTTACCTGCCACATGGACCTCTTCAATTTTAGAGTTATGCCGTTTGGGCTGGCAAACGCCCTGGGTGTATTTAGTCAGTTAATGTCCATCGTATTGAATGGCACTGAGGCCTTTGCCATGGTGTATCTAGATGACATCATGGTGTTTTCAAAATTACCGGAGGAGCATTTTGAATATCTGCAGAAGGTGTTCGATAGGTTAAGAGAACATGGATTAAAGTTAAAATTATCAAAGTCAGTTTATGAAAGAAGAGAAAAATTACTTAGGGTTTATCATAAACAAAGAAGGAATAAAAACGGATTTAGAAAAGTAGGGGTTATAAGAGCCATGCCCGTGCCGAAGTCCGTAACAGAGATTAGGGAATTTATTGAAGCCATCGGATATTACCGGAGGTTCATACCATCATTTAGTCGGCTAGCAGGACCTCTAATAGCTCTAAGAAGCATGCTAGGTTTAAGTGGACTGAGGATTGTCAGTATGCATTCGAGGCTCTAAAGGATCGGCTGACAGCTGTACCCCTGTTGGCCTACCCAGACCTGAGTAAGCCCATGGTGCTGTACACCGATGCTAGCGATAAATGTATTGGGGCAGTTCTTACACAACCATGTCCCGATAAGGATGGACCAGTACCGGGTGTACCTGAGGAAGTGCCGATCTATTTTCTGTCTCATCGGCTCTCCGAAACTCAGCAAAGGTGGTCAGTAATAGAAAAAGAGGCGTTCGCCATTCTGTATGCTGTGTAGAAATTAGATTATTATTTGAGTGAGGCTGTGTTTACCATTAAAACAGACCACAAACCCCTCAAATATGTGTTAGAGGCGGAGTGGACGAATAAGAAGATACAACAGTGGGCATTGAAGTTAAGTGGGTATAACTGCAGAATAGAATATTTGGCAGGGAAGGATAATACCTGTGCTGACGTGTTATCGTGGATTCCATGGCAATTAGAGACCGAATCTGTCAGGTTGGAGACGGGTGTGGATGATAAAGCATTCCAAATTAATGTGATCAATTCACAGGCGTTGAAGGAGAAACTTGGTTGGGAAGATCAGGAAATGAGTGAAACAGAGATTGTTTTCCGACCCCCAGTGGAGAGATATTATTAGGCAAAGCCAAGAGGATAGCGAGATAGCAATTATCAGGTCCAGGGTAGAGGCAGGGCGTACCTCCAAATATATGGTGCACGATGGAGTGTTGTATTACCTTTCAGGAAGAGATGAGGAAATAAGTTTAAAAATGGTGATACCTGAGAAGTTGAGAGCTGAAATTCTAGACCAGTGCCATAGGAGATTAGGACACCTGGGAATTGATAAGACGTATGGATTAATAATGAGAAATTACTACTGGTCTAAGTTGTTTAATGTTGTTGTGAACCATGTAAAAAAATGTGTAACATGTCAAGTACAGAGTCGAAGGAGTAGGGTTGCCCTAGTATTAGAAACGGGTGTTCAGAATTATCCATTTCAGAAAGTAAGCATGGATATTTCCGGGCCCTATGGAGAAACACATAGAGGTAATCTTTACATAGTGAGTTTTGGGGACTGGCTGACAAATTGGCCTGAAGCATTTGACGGATAAGAAGGCCCGAACGGTGTCAGATATAATACTGAACGAAATATTCCCTAGGTATGGGGCCCCCGAACAGTTGGTTACCGATAACCGATCAGAGAATGTGAATCAGATTATGAGAGAGACGTTGGGAGAATTAAACATACAGCACATAACAACCTCTCCATATCACCCCCAAAGTAATGCTAAGGTAGAGAGATTTCATAAGACCCTCACTGATGTGTTAGCTAAACTAACAGAGGATAATAGGGAAAATTGGGATTTATTCGTAACCCAAGAGTTAGCAGCTGTGAGATTCTCAATGAACGAGACGACAAAATTTTCCCCTTATTACTTGATATATGGCAGGGATGTAGTTACAACCTAGGAGGAAGTATTTAGGAGAGGATCATCACCAAATAGTTTTAGAACAACAGCATAAATTTTTTACGCAGGTGAGGAGGAGGATTCAAAGAGCCCAGAAAAGGCGAAACGATAGGGTAAATAAAAATAGAGAAGTTTCCTTCCAGATAGGTGATCCAGTGTATTATAAAATACACATGAGAGAAGGTAAATTGGACCAGAGATGGAGTCCATACTATAGGATCGTGGAGCAGATGGGCCTGGTTTCCTTTGTGATCTGGGACCAATTGACCGGACAGGTAAAGAGAGTGCATGCGAATGAGCTAGCTGAAATAGGAGAATGGAAAGGAGCCGAAACAAAAACTCAACAGAAAAGGCTGAGGAAAACTACGTTGGTAGAACCTGAAGGGTTAGAGACTGAGAGTGAAAGTGAAGGGAGTGAGGAGATTGAAATTAGCCCAACTACTCTTCGAAGGCTGAGGGAGGTAAGCGGGACATTCTGAGGAAGCAGGGATTGAGCCTAACCTTAGGGAAGAAGAACTGAGTGAATGGGAAGAAGAGGATGAAATTCCATTAGCTCAATTGCAGAGCAAATTGCGGGCTGAAAAAAAGCACCTAGTGTTAATGAGGAATTACCACTAAAATGGCGATTGAGGGGAGTGGTACAGCCTGAGCCCAAGGATAAAGTGAAACCAGTACAGTGGCTGTGTTGAATGAGTGATGGTCTGGGACCAACTGTGCATTCATCATCGGTGCTGGTGAACTGTGTGGACGGACCCCATGTATGCACGGCGCTGGTGGTGGTATGGGTCGGTGCTTGAAGTGTCGCTCTAAGATGTAACCACCCGCTAAAAACAATAAGAGAATGATTGAGTAAGACGAATTATTCTCTCCATCTCTTTGCAGACATGGACGAGAGGAGGATCATGGTACTGACGATGCTAGTTATGGTAGCTAATACCTGGGAACACAGTGAGAATACTGTATTTAAGAAGACTAGAGAAGTGATTATAACTAGATCAAAGTGATTGATAACTTTGGTGATAGACCTACAGCCATATGAGAAGTTACTGGGTCAGTTGAAGACCGAAGTGGACAAACTAGATACAGCCAGGACAATTCGCCAGAGACTATTTACAGACTCCGGAATACCACCATATATTATACCCCTTTGCTCAGGAATCTCTAATACTTGAGAGACAATGGAAGGATATAAGTTACTATTTAAAAGGAATAAAGTTGTTATGGACCAGGCAAAAGAGGGCAGTATTACCTATAGTGGGAAAGGCATTAAGCATGTTGTTTGGTACAGTCTCCGAAGGCGAAGTGAGAGTAATTAAGAGGAAATTAAAGGTGGTAGAACAGAAACAACAAGCAATGGTTCAGTTGGTTAGAGAGAGCGTATCTATACTCAATGTTACTAGGCTGGAATTGGCTAAGAATAGAGGGAGTATCAATTGGTTGATTTCTCACCTACAGGCTTTTAGAAAAGAAGTGATAAATGTAACCACGTCTGTAACAACCGAATTACAGAAAGTAGAGGAGTTTTTGCAAAGGTATTTTCAATTATCAGCTGTAA